CTCTTCCCACGGGGTCCCGGGCAGGCCTGCCCCTCCCCCGCCCGGGGGTGCCTTCTGCAGGGGTGGGCGATGTCCGTCTCACGTGAGCCCTCAGTCAAAGTCCTAGGCCGACCTGCAGACCAGGCGTGCGGAGCGAGGGCCCATGGTTGCCCCCCTCCCCCGCCTCTCCCCGCGGAGCCCGCGTGCCTGACGGAGCACCCGCACCTTTGCCAAGTCGAGCTGCGTACGTGCTGCTCAGACAGCCCTGCTGGGTGTGTCTGGAGGCCAGACTTGGCCCGGGACGGCCGTGGGCAGCCATCTGACACGAAGCAGGCTCTGGCTCCTGCAGCCGGAAGCCATCAGTCCAGAACAGCTCGTCTCGCGTCCCCGGCCACGCTGTGAGGGCCTGTGGTCACATCAGCACACACATCCCCAAGCAGCTGTTCTCGTGGGAGAAACCCCAACTCTCAAGTGCCCAGCGTGCACAGACCCTCCCCTGCCCCACGGACAGTCTGGCCCCGCAGGGAAGAGGGGGAAGGGGCCTCTGCAGGGGCTGGGGGGCGGACGTCAGGAGGAAGGGACCAGGCGAGGGCTCAGGCGGGTGTGTGGATACGCGAGTGCCGGCCGGGCGGCTCCCCGAGCCCTGTCTGTGCCAAATGGTAATTCAGAAGCAAATGCCATTTGGTAGCTTCCCACTTGCTGCCAAACACGGCACAGGAAGGGAAGGTTTCTTCTGGGGGCGGTGGGAGGGGGTGGCACCCCAGTGGGAGAAACAGCACAGGAGGCTCTAAGCCACCCCTGGGCACCTGAGGTTCGTGGGGACAGCTCCTTGGCCAGAGCAGAGGGCTCTGCATGGAGGGGAGCCGCTTGGAGGGGCCCCAGGGGGATGGGGCTTGGGGGCCACACTGGATGTACCACCTCAGAGGAGGCAGGGCGGGGACAGAGGATGCTGGAAGATTTGGGGACATTGTCCCCAGGAGGCCCCATGCCAATTCGGCATCTAGGCATTTCCAAGTTTCAGGGGATGAGGTGACGGATGACAGGTTTCAGGAGGAGGCGCCCAGCCAGGCTGCACGTCTTAGCTTTGGGTTCCTATTCACTGCGCCCTCTGGGGTCCGGGCAGTGACGTCCAGAACAGAAGGCCAGGGCCCCAGCGAGCCCCTCCTCGGACAGGGCAGGATTCTCCCACGCCATCCGAACAGGGAGGACAGCCCTCTCCCCCCGCATCTGCAGCACCGGCGGGAGCCTGCTGGCCCAGCCCGCTTTCCCGGTCAGCTCAAAGCGGCCTGCTTTCCTCGAAGTTTCCAGGTGAAAGCGGAGAGAGGTCTAGTCCGCAGCCACCGCGGTGTCTGAGATGTAAACGTGAACTCCAAGGGGCACGCATGGTCTGGACTCCCTTTGGGTCCTGGTGACGGGACCCTCTGTGATCGCGGGTGAAACTGTGCATCTACTTTATACGAACGTTCGCGGGTCTCAACCCTGCCCCCGGCCCGGGGCGTCTGCCTGGTGCACGCGCAGCACCTCATCCACGTGCAAACGGAACTCACGTTTGGGAACCACGTCTGAGTTCTGACTGACGGACTGCAAAGGTGTCCGAGTTCGCTTTTCAGGACGACAGTGCGTCCCGCTCCCAGACGAGCGTCTGAGACACGGATGTGGGGAAGCCCGCAGACCGCGGTGGCATGCCCGCCGAGCGTGGCCGCGGAGCAGGAAGTGAGGCTGGCACTGCCCACCTGGGCGGACCCGGCAGGACGGCGGCGCTGATGGCCACGCGCAGCCTCAACGCTCGCCGACCCAGCTGGGCCTTCGCGACTATGACCAGCTTCTCCAAACAAGATCAGTGGGACCAGCAGGACAGAGCTTTGACTCGGCCCCGGGGCTGCGGGAGCCTGTCCTTAACTGGCCGCAGCCGGCTGGGCTCCGCGTCATTTTCTCAGGAGAGAGACGAGCCCGGAGCCAAGAGGACCCAGCGCCAATGCGAGGCCAGAACACATTTTCCTGGAAGCACAGGTCTAGGGAGGCGATGGTTAGGGTTAGCTTCTCCCCTCCGAGCCTTGGTCCTGGTCCTGGCAGGGCGCCCAGGCCCGCCCACCGATGCGCATACGCTCCCCGGAGAGGAAACGCACCCCCTCCCCGGGGGCTGCGCTGGAGCTCAGCCGTGGCATTTCATCTGGAGTCTGAGCGTATGAGTAATAAATGTGTGAAAACATGAAACTAATATTCATAATTACTTTACAAGATAAAGAACTTGAAGGAAAAACAGCTTCTGTGTGCGGTGCCACCCCGGCAGGGTACACTGCGAAGTGCACGGCACCACGCCAGCCAGCGCCAGCCCTCGCCCCTGCCAGCGCCCGCCTGGCCAGCCCGCCCTATGTGTCCCGATCCCTTCACATGGCTGCTTGGCCAGACTCCTCGAGGCCTGGAGAGCCAGCGGGGCCTCCCACCTCTCATCCCCCGCATCTGATCGCCGACTCTCACATCCACCACTGGCCCTGGCACGGCCTCGCGCAGGGAGGACTGGTCTCCGTTCTTGCTACCCTGTCCCTCCCCTGTCCCCCATGTTCTCACTGGGGTGCACCGTGGGTGCCGTGAAGCACCCCAGTGGGAACCGGGCTCTGAGGCGCTGGCACAGTCTATTCTCCTCGGTCATCGTGTGATGGGACCCGTGACCGTGATGGAAACTGTGCATCTAGGAGCCAACTCTGCCCCAGGTTGGCAGTTCCCTCTGCACATGCTCAGCATGTCATCCGTCTGCAAATGGAGCTCCTGTTCTGGAACAAGTCTGAGCACTGACAGCGACCACAGCAAAGTGTCGGAGTTCCTCTCCCAGGACGACCGGCTCCAAGGCCAGCTGCTGCTCACCTGCGCGTCTCCACACCACGGGGGTATGTGGCTCCCAGCACAGGGGCCCCTGGGCTCGGCAGGGAGGACAAGCCGGCAGCCACACACAAGCCCACGGCCACGCCCGAGGCCACAGCACGGCCACGCCCGAGGCCACCCGCCTCCCTACCTGGATGGTGGTGTTGCCTCCTTCCAGAAGGGCGATGGCCAGGAGGATGCTCTCGTGGAACACGCGGTCGCTGGATGCGTTCATGATGAGGTCGATGACCAGGTTGGAGGCGCCCTCCTTGTCCAGGTGGCACTGGACCTCGGCCAGGCTCATCTCGCCGCGGCTCATGGAGCTGGACCCGGAGCCGCCCCCTGGGAAGAGGGACATGGTTCTTACCGACACATCGGAGCAGCGGATGGCTACTGGGCATCACGCTGTGCCAACACTTCACGCGTCCACACGTCGGCGGTTTCCCCTCAGCCATTCTAATACCCGGAGCTCCGAGCACAGAGGTAAAGCTGCTTGTCCGCGGACGCCAACCTGTCCTTGTGGAGACGCAGAGAGAGCAGGGCTTTTGCGGCCCAGACGCTCCCCCCCGTAGCAGGCAGAATCACAAAGCCCTGCTTTGAGTTTAGGAGGCAGACCCAACTCGAACCCTCCTGAGAGCGCACAGCCCATCGCCACCCCTCCAGCCCTCTTTCCAACACTCCCATCCTGGCCCCGCTCACCCTCTCACAAAACCTATCCGTTCGTTCATTCATTCGTTCATTCACTCCGCAACGGTGTACTGAGTGCTTGGTGTGGAGCCAGGAGCTGGGGGTGGGGCGGGAGCAAAACCAATGAAGCTCCCGTCCTCGGGGACCCTCAGAGGCTCACGCCTTCAGGGGGCAGGGCCTGCGTTTGGAACGTGTCCGTTTGAGAGCTTTCCTTGCACTGTCAGTGGCAAAAACGGAGATGTTGTCCATGGGAAAACAGCCGATCAATTTCAGAAACACAGAGAACTCGATTCAGATGCCAACTCCTCCTGCTCTGGCCGCCGAGGCCCTCGTCTCTCGTGCAGGCGGCTGCTCGTCTCCGCCCTGCGCTTCTAGGAGGCAGACTCTGTCCCTGACGGCCCGCCTACCCCAGGGGCTCCCCAGGGCCCCCCCTATTGTGGAAAGGCCTCCCCATGGAGGGTAACGAGAAACTGTTTTGAGACGTTGTGGGAGGAAACTGCTTGGAATGGCTGGGAACTTCCGGGTGAAAAGCTCAGGACCTGTGTGGGGAGGACGGGGCGGCTCCTCCGAGCGCTGGCTGTGAACGGAGCAGACCCGCCACGGGGCTTGATCTGGGGGGAACCCAGGTCCCTCCCGGAAGCTGCTGGGAAAATGTCTGGGTCCCCCAGAGAGCCCCCCCCCCCACTCCAGGAATCGCTACTTGACAGGGACTCGGGCCGCCCACACCTGTGCTCCGAGCCCCGAGCTCCTGGCCCCCCAAAGCCAGACCAACACCCACAGCCGAGCTCAGGGTTTATGCAACGTTCCTTTGCCTGGAGCCGAGCCGCCAGCGCTGGGGAGCACTGAAGGATCTGTGCTGGTTTCTACACACGGGTTTTGGGGGTCCACTCCCGTAAAGGCTCGGGAAGGCAGAGGGCACGGGCATTCGAATTAGATACACCGGGTTCAAGCCACAGGCCCGTCACCGACCACTCCCATTCCCCCTGCCCCGTGCGGGCAACCTGGAGAACACCAGGTACGGATGCGGAATGCCCGGGAGGCCTTGGCGCTAAGTCGCCGGGCAAGACGTGGGGGCTTTGCCGTCCTCACGGCAAACAGCACCGTCATTTTAGGGGAAAACATGCGTCCTCGTGACCACAAGAAAACATGCCATAAAATCAAGTTCCCTGTCATTCAAACGTCACCGAGGGCGCCCCCTCGTGGGGAAGCAGGTCAATGTTCTGAGCCGCCCATTCGATGGCAGGTCAAAGACAATGACAAGTTGCTCAGAGATCCACTCGCACCCGGAAGTCGCTGGTGAGCGTGTCCCTGCCAGGCGGCCCGCGGTGCCCCAC